CAATAGCGCCATATTTGTAGTGAAATGAGAATAGAAACAGAATAAAACTAGTTTCGTTAAAATCGGGCCACGGGTTACCGAGTCAGTCCCGTTTTTCGGGTCACTTTTCTTACATTCCATTATTATAAAACTTCGTTCATACAACAATATATGCACAACAGAAATTAAATGATGAGATGAAAATGTGTTTTTTACGGCGCGTAGAAAGAACAATAATAAAATAGACCTACAATATTATTGACTATTTGCAAATAGTAACTATGGAGACGAGGTAATAAAACAAAAATCAAGTCGAGAACAACACCAAATATTTTTATAAACGAAAACCTCTCGCCGAGCATTGGCTATTATATTATTTCCCTGTCAATGTTCCCATTTTCATTAAAAGGCGTAAGATGATAACAATCAAATATTTTTTCTTGAATCATGAATAACACGAATGGATTGAAATATTTAACTAAATTATCTCAAAATAAACCTTCATTTCGGTGCAATATTGAAATTAGCTTAAATTCTTCATAACCTCTGAGTAGTGGTTGACCCAACGGGTCACGGTGGTCTAGTGTTACACTAAAGTTGATTGCACACTGAAACACTAGAAATACATTTGCTTTTTAAAAGATAAGTAGTAACTGTACCCATATTGTTGTTGGATGTAATGAGTTAGAATACTAACGTAACGAGTATCTCCAGTTATATTATTGGTGGATAGAATTCTAATAAACAATTCCAACTATATTATTAGTGGATAGAGTACTAACGTAATGAGTATCTCCAGTTATATTATTGGTGGATAGAATACTAACGTAATGAGTATCTCCAGTTATATTATTGGTGGATAGAATACTAACGTAATGAGTATCTCCAGCTATATTATTTGTGGATAGAGTACTAACGTAATGAGTATCTCCAGCTATATTATTGGTGGATAGAATACTAATAAACAACTCCAGCTATATTATTGGTGGATAGAAAGCTGGAGATACTCATTACGTTAGTAATATTATTGGTGGATAGAATACTAACGTAATGAGTATCTCCAGTTATATTATTGGTGAATAGAATACTAATAAACAACTCCAACTATATTATTGGTGGATAGAATACTAACGTAATGAGTATCTCCAGTTATATTATTGGTGGATAGAATACTAATAAACAACTCCAACTATATTATTGGTGGATAGAGTACTAACGTGTACTGAGTATCCCCAGCTATATTATTGGTGGATATAATACTAATAAACAACTCCAACTATATTATTGGTGGATATAATACCAATAAACAATCCCAGCTATATTATTGGTGGATATAATACCAATAAACAATCCCAGCTATATTATTGGTGGATATTATACCAATAAACAATCCCAGCTATATTATTGGTGCATATAATACCAATAAACAATCCCAGCTATATTATTGGTGGATATAATACTAACGTGTATTAAATAATCGTTTCTGATAATCGTGCTGCTACGGAAATCATCAATATTTTAAAATTTTGATAACTGTTAACTTCTGTTACAACATCGGTCAACAATTTATGGTGAATAAAACGTATGAAATGGCTTGATGAAATAAGCATTTTGTTCGATCCAATCCTCTTGTTAAGACTGAATACATAAAAACACTTATCAGGCTAAATTCTCAAAAGCATTAGTTACTTAACTGGTGCTATTGTTAGTGTTTATATTTTGAACTCTCGACAGCATATTGGGTTAACTAACAACTTCAATAATGTTTACATGAAACTCAAGAACTCTTAACATTTCAGTCTAAACCGTAAATTATCTTTGGATTTTTTTACATAAGTTGATCAGAACCATACGCGAATTCACAGGGGGTGGCCTACCGCCACCTAGGTCTCTGGAAAAGTCTCGGTCTTTTTCAAATAACGTCTATCGTAAGCACGCAGAATTAATCTACAGCGATTTTTCATTAGGGACCATCTATGAATTACGTAACGCAAGTTTATCCCCCCCCCCCCACCTCCACTGTAAGGTATTCCAGGGTTCTTCTCGTGCTAGGCTTTTCAAAACATAAACTTAGCCCAGGTGACAGTCATAATTAGTGCAAGATAATCTTTACTGGCATGTAATGGCTGGAGACGGCTTGAATGGGTAATGAAGAAAAACTTTAATATAAGTTTAACGTAACAGCAAATGTACAACGGTGCTTTGCGTTGTAAGACCGTAAATTTACGGCTGTCCCACATAGGGGACTTACAAAAATCAAATGATGAAGTATTTGTACTCAACAGAAAATAGTATCACATATTTATCATAAATAGTCTCGTTTTGAGTTTACTAACTGATTAAATGTTATTTTATTACAAGTTACGGTAAACAATATTGGTTTTTTTTGAACACGTACGACGTTTCGATCATTCTTGTATACTTGTGAATGATCGCACTAGTAATCGAAACGTCGTACCTGCTCTAACAACAAATTATACTTAATGTAGAAGCTGTAATTTGTAATAAAATAATTTATCATAAATATTTGATGGTATGCAAATAAATATAGGTCAAATTATAATGAGGCAAACAGTCCAGCGACGTTAGGATCTCTGCTCAATTTAAACTACAACTAATAAAACTACGCCCAGTGAATACTGAATACACGATTTATGGTAATGTAAAAAATACCATGTAAACAAATGTGTTTATAAATCCTCTATCCCTTGCTAAACTTAAAATTTCTGAATAATTAAAAAATAAAATAAAGTTATCCTACTAAATTTAATATTTCGGTATAATTAAAATAAAAAATGTTGATACGAAATTTAATATTTCTGTTTAATTAAAAAATAAAACAGTTTTGCTACTAAAGATAGTTACACTATAGGTAAGCGACAAGTCTACGGACTTATAACGCGAAAATCCGGGGTTCGATTCTCTGCAGTGGACAAACAGATAGCCCAATGTGGCTTTGCTTTAAGACAAACAAACAAACAAGGATGAGGAGATGAATAGCAAGTCACCGAAGAATGTTTGTGTGTTTTGATATAGCAAAGCCACATCGGGCTATCTGCTGTGTCCACAGAGGGGAATCGAACTCCTGATTTTAGCGTTGTAAATCCGGAGACTTACCGCTGAAGATAAAGGAAGTGGTAGGAGTACACAAGGAAGTATTCCTTCAAACATCGCTAGTGATTTTCTAGTGTTGTTACTGCTAAGTATATCCGCAGGGAAGTGCTTCATGCTAAGTTCTATAAAATTACCCTTGTTAGTATGTTGTTCGTCATCTTCGAAAGGATAACTTCCTACAAAAACACGTTTATGTTTTAATCGTGCACTAACATTTAATAATAATCAAATAACACACTGACTGACTGTTTTAATCTTTTTTTCCTGAAATACTTGTTTGTTTTGAATTTCGCGCACAGCTACGCGAGGGTTATCTGCGCTAGCCGTCGCTAATTTAACAGTGAAAGACTAGAAGGAAGGCAGCTAGTCATCACCACCAACCGCCAACGCTTTTACCAACTAATAGTGGGATTGAGCGAAACATTATAACGCCCCCACGGCTGAAAGGGCGAGCATGTTTGGTGTGACGGGGATTCGAACCCGCGACCCTCAGATTTCGAGTCGAGCACCCTAACCACCTGGCCATGCCGGGCCTGAAATGCTTGAACAACATCATCATGTCAACATGCTAAAAGTTGTGAACATTACTGGTTTTGCTACCTTTTACAAACCGGCTAAGAATGGTTATAAATGTACTTGTTACGAGACATTAGTATTAGACCCATTATATTTTTAAACACCACATTCTTAATCTTGTCCAGTAGGGATTTTCAAGAATTAGAAGAGTGTATAATAATAGTATTCTAACCACACTATATTTGACATATCCATTGTCGATGCCGCATTTCGCTCAATCCAGAGCTCTTCAGGCCGGCTGGGGTATAATAAACGTTGCAGTGGTTGGAACACTATTTACATAAGCCATATGATGTAACAACAATTGTTTAAAGATGTAGTAGGCCTTGTACTAATGTCTCTCGACAATTAAATTTAACATTAATTCTCGTCTACTTACGTCTGTGTGTTTTCCACTTTTCTTCCTCATTGTTTCTCTTTTAAGTCTACTTTTCTGACACTTGATAATTTTCTAAGCTAAAATTTTGTAATTTTTTTATTCCGCGCATTTTTGTACATGCATCTGTCCTGATTTGATGCACTCTATCTCACTTCGTAGCTTATATAAAATAAAGGGTATTTAGTTAAAATTGAGGCGTTAAAATGAATGAAACGTTCAAAACGACTGATGAAGAACAAGAAATGTAAGATGGCTAGTATCTAGAGAACTTCCTTCGGCACTTTGGAATAGAAATCAATTTACTCTTTTCACAAAGATCAAACATTTCTAACTCTGAACATGAGTGTGTGGAAGCCTTGGCAAATCAGTCCAGACAACATTGAAACTGTGCGTTTCTATTTGTGAAGATTTTTATATTATTTTCCATGGCAAGCACTTTAAAAAAAATGGTTTCTATCAAGAGTCTAAACTTTACGAACAACAATAACGAAAAAATTATACGTGACATTTTAAACAAACCGCTTCTTTGAACATCAGAGTGAAACAATGGCATTTAAGTTATCGTTCGTTTTTGTTTTTTATCGGGTACATTACGCTTATCTGTCAAGATGGAACAGTGATTTTACTTTGTAAAACTAAAAGCAAGTAATGTTCCTATCTTCTACACTAGCCATAAATAACTGTCCTATCTTCTATACTAACCATAAATAACTGTCCTATCGTCTATACTAACCATAAATAAGTTATTTATGGCTAGTGTAGAAGATAGGACAGGTCCTATTTTCTACACTTGCTATAAATATAGGTCCTATCTTTGTACACGAACCATAAACAATGGTCTTATCTTCTACACTAATCTATCTATTCTGATCATTGGTCCCACCATTAAAATAAAGAAACAAACTGTGTTTTTATTCTTTAAAACATTAGCTGAGGTCTCGTCCTTTTACACTAGACAGTGGCGTTATTTTTAAACACTGAGCAAGTGTCTTATATTCTAACAACAACTTTTGGTTCTATTTTGTAAGAAATTATTTGACAGGCACAGTAAGTAGTGATTCTATCATTTAAAGTAAACCAGTGATTTTATTATTTAATATTAGCTAGTACTCATCTCAAACCATTTAGTACTTTGTAGTGATTCTACAAAGAATCAAAGAATCTACAAAGAAGTAATCATATAATTTAACACTGGATAACTGTTCTGTATTTTAACACTAAACAGTGTTCCTACAGTTTAGAAAACACGATTATAACCTGCACAGTAAGAAGATTTGAAATATACATATACATATATATATCCAATTATTGAGTAAAATATATATATATATATACATAGTTAAGCAAATATATATATATATATACATAGTTAAGCAAATATATATATATATCCAATAACTGAGGGAAAATCAAACAATCACACACACACACACAATTACTATAGGCCTAGTTAAAACAAAGTAAGGAAAAAATAAATACATTGTCATAAACGCTCAGGTTTTGAGTTCGTGATGGACTCGATGATTTGGTATTGCACAGACTAGGATTGTTAGTTTTTGTATAACGTCTGTCGCCCTCTATTGACATTGAGCAAAAATGTTATGTTTTTATCAAAACGTTTATATTTAAGTTAGAAATTGTTTTTTGGAAATCAAATTATAACAAACAATTTAAGAGAATGGAAAGTTGTTGAATAGATTCCAATTATAATTTTTAAGTAAGCACTGAGGAGGTGTAATATATAATGTGAATGGATCATATGATATTTTCTTAGAAAATGAACTTGTAAACTAGAGTGATTATTATCATTTGTTTGTTATCATTCGAGTTCACAACCAATTAAAGAACACCATGTGTATAGCGCCATCTCTTGGCAAAAATATTAATATACAAAATTAAAAATTAATCAATATGCAATACAAAGGTATTATTTAGTTACTTATAAAACAATTTTCACGCATTGCAACAAATAGATGACAAAATTATCTGTATCTGTTTTTAAATTTATTTAATGCAAAAGAATTTGCTATGAAATAAGGGAAGTATAAAAATCCCACCTATCGGCGAAAACCGAAGTAACCTTTCATCTCGAAGGGAAGTCGTCTCCGAAAGGTCACTGTCTTCATCTTCTTCCAACAAAGGGGGTGGAGCAGACACCTCGTACCCCCAGCGACGGCGAAATGCTTGCCGACCCCCGTCCAATCTAACTCGAGGAAGATCCACAAATAGTCGGTCTCCAATCTGTTGGATATAAATCACAAACATAAGACCGTATTTGGAATATATGTGAATAACATCGTGTTATCACCCGTAGCAATAAAATTTTTCTCTTATTGAGATCAAGTGGGAAGTGTCAGGTTGTCCAATCGATGAGGAAAAAGGTATTAATCAAGTAAAACAGCCGATCACAGAATCATATGTACCCCCCAAAAATTAGATTTCAATACAATACGATGGGCACAACAAAGATAGCCCATTATGTAACGTTGTGCTTAATAACAAACAAGAATAACCATATGCAAAGTATTCAACTCCCTAAAATATCCCAACAATAAACTTCATGAATGCATTTACCACGTGATGATACGGTATCCCATAATAGTACTTCCACAACATCGCTCAAATTATACAGAAAATGGTAATTTGTGCAACATATACGGCCATTTTTCGAAACTTTCACTTTGTTTATTTTATTTTTTTTAAATAGCATGTCTTCACTTCCATAACTTAAATGTCTACTAAGTCTTTCACTCTAGAGCACTGACATGGGAATTGGCAATTCTGTACCATCGTGAAAAACGGGATATTCCACCTCAAGCTTCTCAAAGTTTACTATTTTCCAGTTTCGTATATGTAATTAATGAAATATTAAAAGATGTATTAGGGACTGGGAAAGTTGTTCACATATAAAAGTAGTAGTGGAAAAGTTAAAGATCATATACAATATCCATGGCTTATATGAATTCGGTTCCGTCAGCAGCTAATTCATGTTGAGCTTTACAAGTTTCTCAATATATTGACTAGATGGCGCTGCTCGCTCGGTTATGAGCGTATCGTCACAGTAATGATAATATATATACAGATACGTTTCAAGTTTCAGTGTCAAGTGAACAATTTTTGTTTTGTCCTGATATTTGATGAATCATAACACACACAA